AGGGATCAAAGATAACCCTCACCTGAAGTGGCATACTTTTAGAACATCTACAGGGTACTTAGTGTGGGTTAACACCTGTTAACATGTTTTAATTGCCTTTATGATTGCCTTAAATTGCTCCTTGTGTATGACCCACATGTAGTGGGTTTCCTCTCTGAGCAGCCCGTCATCAGCTATGGAGAATGAGTGGCCTCATTCCTTCATCTCAGTGTCAGTAATGCAGTATCTTAAGCCTCCCAGAAGCCTTAAGAGACTAGTCTTTACTGGAATAAGCTCATTACTGCTTTTCTGACAGTGCCTCTCCCTACTATGTTGTTAACTCAAAATACTTGGGGCTTCTCATAAAGTGCCAGCTTTTAGAGCCAGGTAACCACAGGAAACCTGTGTTTATATAATGTTTAACTTTTATAAATATTGAGAAAAACTTAAAACATGAACCCACAAAACCTCTCCAAAAATCCATTTTTTAAAGCTGGCCTTTGAAGGCCTGGAATTGGTAAAACTGGGCACATCTACACGATATGTTTTCTGTGGAGTTGACTATTTAGCTCTGCCATAGTCTCAGCATCTACACGTGCAGCCCTATTAGGGCACAGGAAACTAGTCAACTCTGCCTAGATTAATGCTTGTAAACACAAGTACTATCCTATGGCAGCATTCTTTAGTGCACAGCAGTGCATGTGTAGATGCTGATGGGGCTGGCTAGGGCACAAGGGTGCTTCAGTGTTGGGGCTGCCTGCCAGCTAGCCCTGCACTGGAGCACCCTCGTGCTGCAGCCAGCCCGTTTACAACACATTGAGCCGAGTTGGAGCAGCCGTGTTGGCAGCCTCACTCCTTGAGTCTTCTGCCAGCTGGGGCTAATCCAACCCAGCTCAACTTGCTGCTGACCTGTTTAAATGCAGTACCCGGGAGCAATAAATACCAGTGTGATATGCACTGGAGTTTATTGCGTTCCATTAATTGCACATGTGGACACGGCCACAGCTAGTGGCTTTACTTTTAAGTCAGTTAACTGGGGTGATTTCCATAACTAGGACAAAAGCATATATCCCAATTAAAACAGTTCTGCTATACCATGTAAAATAACTGTTGCAAATAATTTAATGCAGCAGTGCTAATACTTTTAGCCCCCTAAAATGGGCGTGGGGCAAGCCTGCAGGCTGGATTGGTACCTGTGTGCCAGGATTGGGCTCTGCACAGCCTTGGTGCACCAGAATAGGGTCCTGGGACCCTGCCCTGCCAACACACTCCAGGCTGCCTTCGATTGGCTCCCTATGGTGGGATGACGCTCTTGGGCCCCGCCCCACTGTACCAGGATTGGGCCCCAGAGCCCTGTGCGCTGTGCAGGTCCACACTGTCTAGTTTGCAAGGCTCCCCATAAAGCCAGAAATTGCAGCAGGGTAGCTGCTCTGTGCCCGCAGGGTGACACAGCTGTTGTTTCACCACAGCTTGTGTTCAACGAGTGTGACAACATGCCAGGCCAGGAAAGCAACAGTGGCTTAAAGAAGAGAGGGGCAGAACTGTACCATTTCTTGGGCAGCACACACCGCTACTGGTTCTGGCAGAAAACAGCTCGAGTCTTCAACACATGCTGAAGAGTGCATGGACTATACGCCTTTGTAAATAATGCTGAACAAATTTATCTTTGCTTACATTTGCATTTAAAACATGTTCAGCTACAGCCACCACCATCAACATGCGATTAGTAGTGTAGACAGGAACCGAAGAAGAGAGGACGACACATGCTCTTCACCACATAATACATTTGCTTAGGGGTTAAAATTTGACCTTAAAACCTTCTCTTCCCATACTAATGCTTTATAGGGACCAATAGCAAGTAGGAATCAATTCCTTTTAAAAAAATGTTTAAGAGGGCTCTATCTACTTCACCTTTTTATCTAGGCAGGCATTTAGCAAACAAAACTTGGCCGAGATACTTAGTAGATCTTTAGTTTGTTTTGATATTTTAGTTTTAAGCTCTGTTCTCTTACTGTATGCTGCCTCAAGCCTTTGTTGGGAAGGGCAGCATATAAATCACATAATAAATAATTAATTACTTGTAATAATATACTAGGAAAGGTGGGGTACAACCTATTGGTATATAATCATCTGTAGATACTGCATAGCTTTTATGATTGTCTGTCATATTGTCTCTCTATATTAAAATTTAACGGTGGCTTTCACCAAAAAATTATATGTCCCCCTCAAATATTAGTTTCTAAGTAAAAAACAAACAAGCAAACAAAAAACTCTGAAAAACTGCAGTGCAGAATACAATGAAAATTTGAAAGCTGCTGGGGCTTTTTTTCATGCATCTATTTTTCTCTTTATGTCTATTTCTTGCTCTCTCATTCTCTCTCTATTTTTCATATTATATATATATCCCTCTCTCTATATATAGAAAAAAAATATATATATATATATAAAAAAAACCCCCAGCAGCTTTCATGTGTTTTCATTGTTCTCCACACTGCAGTTTTCCAGTTGTATTTTTTTAACTTACAAGCTAATATTTAGGAATGTATTTCCACATATTGTGGCTTCCAACATTGGCAGCTCGTGATCACTAAAATATGGACATGTATGGTATGGACATACATTTTAGCTGCTTAAAAAGAGGAGGGAGATCTGTTGCTTGAGAGCAGCAGAAGCTGTTGTGATGTGTTACATACACATGATCCCATACCAACACAAAGTGAGCTAAATCACATTAGCTTTCATCTTGAAGGAGGTTAGAGTTGGAGTGGTTCTGGCACACTTGTAGGCCTACAGAATCATGTATGCATTACTTGCATCGTAGCAGCCTGTATTGGGGTCTTTTAATATTGATACCATTTTTTTTATTTGTCTTTGCCCTTTTATTTAAATATTAGAGGAATAAGACTGGCTTATCCTAGCATATTTTACAAGGGTCTACTTGCTTACAGAAATGATGCACATTTTTCAGTATTTCTCCCAGATTGCCTTCTCAATTTTGTTAACATGCAAGTCTGGGAAGAGATCAAATGGTTAGTGTTTCATTCAAGGAGATACTAACCCTCTTAACCTTTGTCCCAAGTGTGATGTGGAGACGCTGCAGGAAAACAACAGAACTTTACAACACGAGGGACACTTTGATTAGCTGGAGAAGTGATTTAGAATATGAAATGAATGTAAGCTACTCTCGCTATGGTCTCAACAGTCCAATGCTTTAAAAAACAAACTTTGGAAAGCCACATCACTTCTTTTTCTTTTTTTTTTAGACAGAGAGAGAGAGAGAGAGAGAGAGAGAGAGAGAGAGAGAGAACACATGTGTAGTCAAGATGGTCACCCTTTGCTGCAGGAGGAGGGACAAAGTTTAATCTCTCCATCCAGGGAAGACTCCTAGACCCCTTTTCAGTAATAAGATCTATGGTTCCTCAACCATTTCTTTTCAAACAAGGAAGTTCCCCCTTTGGCACAAGCAAAGGCTTGTTTTGTACATGCAATGATAATGATGAAAGTTGGTCCATGAAAAGGAGGGGGGCCTTGTGAAAATATCTAGCCTCATCTATTTTAATGAGATGCTAGGGCTCACAAATCAAAGCACTAATATTCTGCTATGTTTCTTTGCTAGTGGCTGTTTTTTATCTGTGCAAAATTTGCATGAAGATGTGTCAAAGGGAGTCACTTACCAACAATCTAAAAGTGGAGAATGAAATAAGAACAGTGATCAAGCACCTCCATCAGAAAGGACTGATTCTCAAAGGAAATCTATTGGGACAAGGTAGCAAATGCTGGCAAAGACTGGCTATTTATATGACAAAGTAAAAATATTGGGCAGCTGACTGAGAATCAACCCTGAGGAGAAGCTACAGTCAGGATGCCTCAGAGAAGCCAGTGCGCAAAAACAAGTTGGTGCAGTCTACAACCAAGACCAGGGCATGAGAAAGGTGTCAGTAAGATGGGCGAGCAGAACGTCAACAGCTGATCAGAGGACACTGGAGACTTGACATTTGCAGGAAACTTAAACAAACAACCCCCCGGCTCCCGTGAGTAGACTTGCTAATCAGGTTGAGAGAATGGATTTTGCACTTTGATCCAGAGACCAAGCAATAGCGCATGCAGTGGAAGCACAAGAGTCTCTACCTGCAGAGATGTTCAAGAATGTGGCATCAGATGGGAAAGTGGTGGCTGAATTTTTGGGACAGTGGAGAATATGACTATGACTGAATACCTCTCAACAGATAAGACCACTGTTGGTCTGTACCATGCTAGTAAACTTCTGCACTTGCAAAGAAGCTATAGAGAAGAAGTGCTCTTTAAAGGCAAGCTGAGGAATGGTGCTTCTCTAGGAAAATGCATTACCTTGCACATCCAAAGATGAAGCGACTAGAGCAACCAAATATGGTTCTGAATTGCTTTTCCATCCACCAGATTTGGCTCTGTCTGGCTCCTATATCACTTTCCCCAAGTTGAAAGAAATCTTCTGTAGAAAGAGTTTCTGGAGAAAGGTGATTGCAATAATTAAGGACTTTCTGAATACGCAAGACAATAACTTCTACAAGATGAGCACAGCCAATTTGCAGCTGTCTTGAGCCAGTTAGGACAAGAGACATCCATCAAGCCTCTTGATGACAAGATGATCTGTATTGAAAAATAAACAGTTGAGCACAGATAATGTTTGCTTCTTGGTCAGACTAGAAACATATGAATACCCTCATAAAAGTTCTTGCTTTTTAGTCTCTGCCCATTAATTCATGTTTTAATAGATTAATCCATGCCTGCGATCTTCAAACTCGCCTAATAGATCCTGACAATGTCATGCATGTCACCCTTTTGAGAACTCATACATTCAGCAGAATTATCCAGCAGGTTGTCAGCAAGTATAACAGTGTGGGTAGTGATACTGCAAAAATGAGGACTATGCTGCATCAATAGTGAGGAAGTTGAGAGAAACAGAGAACATCAGTTCTACAAGTGAATTGCTACTACTTGCCTATGCTAACTAATTTGCATATGTAATTTGAGACACAGGTTTCCTCTTAGCTCTGATCATGTTTTATTAAAGTAAATACCCTGCAGGTTTGATATACAGGCAAAATTCCTTTTTAAAAAGGTTTAAGCTTGAACTTTATACACGTACGATAATTCTTAGTTTTGTTTTTTTAAACCTGCTACATAAGAAAATATCTTCCAACTTCCATACAAAATAGTACTTTTTTCTCTGCTGGTAGAAGACATTGATAAAATTTTTAACTGTCAAGTGGTCTGTGTAACTGTTACAAAAGTTGTATACAAAAACGTTCAATGCAAAAATTCCAAAGTACACTCTGACAGCTAATGCTCTGCGAACACTTTATTACACAAATTACATTCAGCTTCTGAAAATAGTGTTCTAACAGTGATACCATCTAAAAATAAGACATCCCAAAAACACATCAAATCAGGAGGAAGGAAAAAAAATTAAATAGACTTTTTTCTTTCCTTCAATGCAATATTAATGTTAGTGATTTTAAAAAAATAGAAGAAGATTTAGCAGCTTTGTTTTCTTGTGGCACTGTATTTTCTCTGTACTGCAATAGGTTAAGGACATTGAAGAGGAAAGGCACAAAAGAAAGAAATTGGCAACTGAAGTGTTATGGGAAAAATATTGTCAAAGTAAATAAATGGGACTTATTTACAAGTACAGAAAAGGTCCCAAAACTGAAATGAAAAAATACTACTACTTTAAATCAGTACTGCAATAAAAAGAGGATTGGTTTCTTTATTAAGATGTTCACGTAAAGACAACGGCACTGATATGAAACTTCCAGACACTCCTCCACTTAAAAGAACAAAACTAAAACTGAACTAAAACCAAAAACATCCCAGTGTACAGCCCCACGTAGACTAGTACAGTTTACAATTAAATACACAAAATCTTAAACGTGCTAAAGGGAAAGGAATCTGGCATTCTTGGTAGAATTGTTTAATGTAGAAATCAAAGGCTGGTTTCAGGATGATGAAGTCACTGGTGGGGGCGGGGGTGGGGGTGCTGAATACTCTTCTTCTGAGTCAGTACCATCATCTTCATCTTTTTCTTGATCACTTCCTTCGGTGCTAAGTCGGTCAAACCCTTTTCGACTGTAGCCTTTGCGACTTGCAAAGAAGTTCCCAAGATTAAGGCCCCCTGTACCTTTTCCTGTAGAAAGGAAATACCTGACATAAGCTTCTCTTTACTGAACTTGGGAGGAAGATATCCCATCTAACCATTCACCACTTTAATGGCATTTATCCTTTTTTCTAAAACCAATTTCTACCACGCTGTTTTCAAAGGCCAATATGCATGAACCATCTTGGGAAGGCAGGCACATGGACTGTGGTAGAAGTAGTTCTACCCTTAAAAAAAACTGTTAGAGCCATTACTTAGTTAGGATTAAGCTATAATTTTTTGAGCATGCTCCCTCGTGCTTCCAGAGATTTACATATAATTAGCAACCACAGAGGTAGCACTTCACTTCATTCTCTGTGAAAAGGGAAAAGTTAGTATAATAGCGACTGGCTTCCCTGTGGGAATTATAGATCATCTTCAGTGGCCAGATGTCAACAAATGAAATATGGTACAGAGGCAGGCATTTATATAAATGTATAATGAAAAATAGAGCTGAGAAGCCGTGCTTCCGTGGCTTTTCGCACTGGGAAAATTCCACAGGCAGAACTGAAATGCTCTCAGATCTGTTCCTGGACTGATTTTTATTTGAATAAAACCAAAGATATTAGACTCAGAAGGTCACAAGCGTTTTGCATTTTGCTTACCTCGAAATCTGCCCAAGATTCTGCCTGAACCTGAGTCAACTTTATGATCAGCATCAGCTGGAAAAAACAAGACACATTTCAAAATAAGCTTCAATAGTCTTATTATCCAATGAAATACCAGCGTGCATTTTCTGAACCACTCAAATTGATCAGTAATGTAGAGAAATAAAATTTATAATCACCCAGTTTTCTGGTTAGTGTGGAAGTATAACTGGACAAAATAACTGGCATCCAGTAAGTGCTCAGTCTGTGCCACTGTTGCTACGAGTATCTTAGCAGTTAAAAAAAAAATTAAACTGTCAGATCTGAGACACTCTCTCTCAAGTGCTGGCTTATGTTACTGTGAAAGCATTAGGAGGAGAAAAGAACTTTGTAACTGTGCCCAGACAGCTCCATTCCAACACATGGCAAGATGCATCATGACATCTGAAAATGCATGTGGTACAGTATGCTAGACACGTGGTAAATACTAGGGCTGTGCGAAGCTTCGGGTGCTGATTTGGTTCGGACAAGATTCGGCTCAATTAGGTGGCCAAATCTGAATCAAATTGGGAGACCAATAAAAAGCTATGAATTGATTCAAAGCTCTCTGAATCAATTCGGAAAAGATTCGGAGAGCTTCAGAGATTTGGGCAGTCCTCATTCGCTACTGCAGGGAGCTGGACCCAGACTCCGTGCTGGTAAGTAGGGGGTGGGGGAAGGAGGGCTGCAGGACAGAGGAGGGGACCATGGGGGGACCCCTGCCAGGTCCCATCCCCCCTGAGTGCCCCCCAATTCCCACCCGCCCTCCCAGCCCCATCAATGGCTGCCCCGCCCAGCCCCAGCTCCCGGCTCTTTTAAAAACAAACAAACAAACAAAAAGCCCCGCACTCACTGGCTGCTGCCAGGCAGGGGAGGCGAGCTCCTCTGACCCC